AACTAAGTTCTCAATCCATTTCTGCCAATCCAACATAAATTTCTTTTCAACAATCAAAATCCACTGTCTAGATGCTGCTTCTAGACAGATGACCAAATAATAAGCTCAGGACCCTGATTGCTTTTTGCTGAAAAACTTTATGGTGATTCAGAGTCTGGTTATTTCATAGAACTTTTGAAGTTAACAGTATTCATAAACAAATGTCTAATTGAAATACTAGAATTAGCTAAATTAAAGATTTTATCCTGTATTTCAGCTTGTAGCCTGATTTTAACTGTTCCTACAATTTAGGAAAGTTTAGATGTTTCACATTTTAAGCTTAGGTTGTCCCTAGAGTGATCACTGATTCTGAAAACATCAAAACCAGAAGAACAGTAACAGTAACAACATCATATAGAGGAAAAAGGAATCTACCATATAGAATATGGCATACATGTATGCAATCTTTTTCACATATTAATATGCAACTAGGATTTATGAGTATGCTCCCTTCCCAATGACATTTTAACAAGTTCAAGTCCTTTTTTCTACTTTTAAGAAACAAACAAAAAAGTCTCATTATCCACTTCTGCCTCCTCTCCTTTACATCACAGTCAGACTCACCTCCCACTCAGCCCCAACCAACTCCAGTCTGGCTTTCACCTTCATCATGCCACCCAAATGGCTCAGTGTCACCAGTGATCCAAACATCCCTGCACCTGTCCATTAAACAGTCAGAGTAGAAAATCTAAAAATGGATTTTATGATTTACATGCTAGGATAGAGCATGCATGGTAGCTGTTTCTCCACCTGGCTGTGTGGATGTGAGAAGGCTGCACTGAGTCTTGGCTTCCCTTTGCCAGCTGCACCCAAAGATGGATATCAAATACATGCAATAGAATAAGAGCATCTTTGCTGCTGATAAAGAGTAAATCAGAAATCAGAAAAATATAAAAACCCAAATAAAGCTCATGCAAAACCTGCTCCTTACCCTCACGTCTTTTTCCCCACAAGGTCCTAAATAAAAGTAAACCAAAGACACATGCAGTAAAAACTGCAGGGGAAAAAGCTGTGATCTTTTTAACTAAAGGTTTTCAAACATATTTCAAAATTCAGTCACAGAAAATATGGTCTCTTTACTTACTGAAAGCTTTGCTGACTGAAATATATCAAATACTTTACAGCAGTGTAAAGACTGCTTTAAAGACTCCAGTGAGCACTTTCTGTACAAGAACGTTCATATGGAGAAGCTGTGCATGTGGGAGTAATGGTTATGATCTTGGCTCTGGAGCCAGACCAGACTGCCAGTGAGCACTCTCTGGCTCCACAGCTATGGCTGTGTTATACCGGCAGCTTCTCTGGGCCTCCATGAGGATAATAATAGTAAGAACTAAACTGCATGAAAAGCACATGGCACCATGCCTGGACCACAGAACTGTTTAGTACATGGTAAATACATACAGATACCACTTAACATGTAATTTAGTCTTCAATTATCACTCAAGTGGGGGGTAATGATGTATCAGTGTGGATTCATAAATTGTGACAAATGTGCCTCTCAGTACCTCTCTGGTGGAGGATGTGATAAAGGAGACGCCATGCATGTGCAAAGTGGTATGGGGGTTTCTCTGCATCAGCCATGCAATCTTGTTGTGAACTTAAACCTGCACTAAAATATAAGGTTTATTTTTTTAAAGAGTCATTTAATTTTTTATGAAAAATAGGCAAGTATGTTTACTATTCTTTTTATTTCCTTGACAATGATTAAGAATGATAGGTAGCAATTATAGAGCACTTAGCCCTAACTTAGCACTTTGTGTACATTAAATTATTAAATAAGTTACTGCATCTTTTATCATACCCCCCCATACACACACACACACACACACACACGTTTAGTTAGAACAATTCAGACAATTTGTCCAGGTTTCTGGACAAATTTTTCCAAGCCCACTTTAACAACACTCAGATTATCTTGTCAAGTTTCCAAATGCCACCTAACTTATAAGCAAAAATATAATTTTAAGAAATCATGGGAGAAGATGGCTTTTAGGTTAAGACAGTCAAGAAAGGGGGGCTTAAGAGCGTGCATTCCCAACAGAGGGCTGAAAGGTTCAAGATTATTCACGTATATATGTCAAAGCTTCCTCAACAAAGTGAAGAGCAGCAATGTCTTTGGATGATGAACGGCTGCTTTTGATTTCCTTAGGTAAAGGGTGGAAGGACACAGCCCCTATCTAGGCTTTTGTACTTAGTATAGATGAATCACTGAGATTATTCCAAACCTGTTCCATCCTGCTCACAGTTCTGATAAGGAACAGTCCTTGTCTTCACTGAGTTTTAGCAAGTTAATGTTCCAATAAACATGTAACTACATTCTTATGTGTCTGCAAAAGTTTCTTTCTTGAACAAGGAATCAATGAAGGCTAAGAACATAAAGCCAGCATGCTTATAGTTTCCATGTTCTGTCACAGCTTAAAATGAAAAAACAAAAAACAAAAACAAACAAACAAAAAACAGTAGCAAGTCTTTACTGAGAACCATGAACCATGCCAAGTTCTATGCACAAGTCAACTGACTTACACTAGAAAGGCAGTGTAAGAGCTGTCCAATCTCATAAGGATAGCAAGCAGAAGACAAGGGATTTGAACCCTAGCAGTTTTGAGAATAGAAAACAAGCTCCTAGTTCCTACATAATCACACAGCCCTGTACTCCTCCCCCAACACTCTACAATTGGTGGGCTCCTATCACAGAAACCATTTCCTGTAAGTGATCTCTATCATCCAGGCATTTCCACTGAGTGGTCGTTTACAGTTTCTCTTATCAAAATGAGTGGTAATATGCAGATGCCAATCTCAAAATACAGCCACATTGTAAAAATTCTTTCAACTATTTTTATCAGATTCCAGACTGTGCCTTGACATATAGAGCATCACCAGGTGCCTTGCTATATGTTTAAAAGTAAAAACAGTTACTGCTACTTAGCAATGATACATAATAACTTTCTTTAAAAAGATGGCCAATTTAAATCAACACTATGTAAAACTGAATTGACTGTGATGATTACCCAAGCTGATCAATCACTGGCTCCATGCTATTCACCTATCCTGTGGTCAGATTAACCTTACATAGAGTATGTTTTATGATGCACTACTAAAATACTAAGTATGCATACACAATTCAGCTTGGAAAAGCCTTGAACTTCTGAACAAAGATAAAATCCAAAAACATCTAATAAGCTTTCAGTGCTATGGACCTTTATAATACTTTTGATGATAAGTAGGTTCCAACAATATGATGTCCTAGTTTGGTGAAGATAAATCATGTCAAAGTTTTCTGAAGGGAGAATAAAAACTTTTCTGTCAAATAACTTTGACACATCCAAAACCATAATCTCAAAGTAATACTGAGAGGACAGAAGTCAAACAAATTTCCAAGTGGGATTTTTGCCTAATTAACAAACTGCTTTGTAACAGTGCTTATCCTGCATTTCTGATTAAACAATATCCAACAGTTAGCAAAGGTTTTTGAATAGAAAAGCTTTTTAAAAATCTGTCTCAATAAATTCTTCCCAGTGATCACAAATTTCACAGGGCTAGCATGTTTCCAGATTCATTAAGCAACAACTTCTTGTAGCAATAATTCCTGACCCTTCAGGGAGTCTCAGACCCTTAAGAGAACAAAAACCATCAACTTTACTTCCAGAGACGTTCAAAGTTCATCAAGCCATTCATAGGCCCCAAGAATCCCAGGGCTGTACCTTGCACCAAATGAAGGGAGAACGATAATGGCAACCTCCAACTGTCACAGAAAATCAAATTTCCACTTACACAATTTGTTAGGGGAAAAAAAGGTCCTTTTAGAGACTCCTAACCAAAGGTATTGTGAAGCTGGCTCTGGTCAAATGTATTGATTTTCTCCCTCCAGAACTCTTTCCCTAAACTCCAGAAGGTATACACTCAACTTCCTGTCAGTATCCAACTCAAATGTCATCTCTTCAGAAAGAATTGCTTTCTTGACCACTATAGCAAAAGCAGTCCTCTGACCCTCTTTATCACACCTCACTCTTTTATTTTCACAATTGATTACTATTCAAAATTGTCCCAATAGTTTTCTTATTGTCACCCCCATTAACTTAAACTCCATTAATGGCAAATACCCTGTCCTTTTCTCCACTATGTATCCTTAATGCCTATTACAGTGCCCGGAACCCAGTGGGCATTTGACACGTATTTGTTGAATGACTGAAAATAAAAATCAATGTTGATACTGGAATCAACTACCAAGTTTTTAATTGGTTGTGAGTTAAGAATTCTCTCGCCTTCATTCTATAATCTGCGGTCCGTTCAATCAACACCTATCATGTGCGGGGCACTGTTGCAGGGGATACAGCAGTGAATAAAACAAGCAAGTGTCTTTGGCCTCACAGTCCCTCTACTTTAGTGGCCGGCCCGGAATAAGCAGACCTCTTGCAGACTACACTACCTGGAAGGTGCAGAGTTAACCCTCAACCTTTCCTTCCTTCAGAGAGTTATGGGAAATCCTCTAATGAAGAGAACACCATCCAATCGGTCACTTCCAAAGCAAGCCTCTGGGGGTTTCCCAGAACCAGTAGGGCAGCTCTTCCACCCTCCCCACCTGCCCCACACCCCGCTCCGCTCACAAGGGGAGAAGCCCAACCAGCAGAATCCAGGTAAAGAAAATACTCAGGGCAAGGGCTACCGCTTCTGAAGGGGGTGGGGGAGGAACCATGAACCAGGACGGCACGGAGTCAAGGCAAGAGTCTTGGGCTGGGAGGCTGGAGAGCCAGTCCTGGCTGTCACCAACTTGCTAGGTGACCTTGGGCCAGTCCCGAGCTGCCAGGATATCAGTTTTCCCAGAGATACAATGAGGAGGCGGAGTGAGTGGGGAATCGGGGTCGGGGGAAGTGGAGGCCGGGAGCCCTGGCAGGGGCCGGGCGAGGTAACGGCCGGCTGAGGAGGTCAGCCGGCGCGGGGCCGGGCTGGGGCGGTTCACCCACCGAGCGCCACCTGGCAGGCCCTGCGCAGCTGGGAGTGCTGGGGCCGCTTCACCTCCTTGTCGGCTAGGATCTTCTCCAGGGCCCGGGACACGAACATGCTCTTGGTCTGGCTCTCCTGCATGGCCCCGGCCCGGCGGGGGCTGGCAGCCCCGCGGGCGGGCGGCGCGAGAGAGCGGGCTAGCTAGGCTGTGGTCCCGGCGTCCCGGCCGGCACTGGCCGCGTCTGTCCGCGCCGCCCCGTCAGGAAGCGACGCCGCGGCCCCACGGCGCCGCCATGTTGGAGCGCGTCACGTGACCACGTGACTGGCTGGGCCGCTACGACCGCCTCGCGTCCGTGGACCCCGTGACCTCTACGGGGAGGAGCCTACGCTAGAGGCGGGGCGGGACCAGGTAGAAGGGGCGGGGCGAAGTGGCGGAAGGAAGTATAAAAACGGTGAGGCTTCGCGCTGGAATGGGTAAAGGCTTAGGGGACAGGAAAGGCTGGAAAAAAGAGGTGAAAGGGAGGAGAAAGAAAGACAGCTAAGACCGTGCTAATGGAGATGATGTGTGATAGATAAGGAAAAATTTGAGAGGAAGGAAGAGGAAGGAAAGATTAGAAGTGAAAGGATTAAGTGTAAAAAAAAGCGAGGGGAAGAGAGAAGTTTAGCGAATGAATGCTAGTTGATGAGGGAGAAAGAGGAGGTACAGAGAAGAGAGGAAGCAGGGGGTTAAAGGGGGAGGCGAAGTACTTGTAAGGAGGTCATATAGTGAGGGAAGAGATGGGGGTGCGAAGGTTAGAGAGGTGAGGAGAAGAGGTGAAGAGGGGGAGGGGAGAGTTCAGGAGAAGAACAGAAGATGGGAGGAAGAAGAGAAGATACAGGGAAACGGAGGAACTGGAAAAAGAAATGGTGTGGAAGGTGAAGAGTGAAGAGGCGAGAAAGATGGTAACAAAACATCTGGGAGAGGGAGAGACAGGAAAAGAAGGGCTTGAGGAAGGGAGAGGATGTAAGTGGAGAGAAAGAGAAGGTGTATCACTGACACTCCACAGACAGGATTTCACCTTGCGTCCTGGCAAGACACACCCTCCTGTCGTCAGTTAGTCCACTCTTGGCCATCTGTGCTGGGTGTATGCAAGGCAACCATGATAATTCGCCCCCAGTGCATCTCCCTCAGGGGTGTATCATTTACTTTCTTAAACCTGTGGTGCCTCACAGTACATTGAGCAAGGTGGGGGGATTTGAGGGTGTCTCACTAGGGAAGACACAGAACTTACCATCCTGCAAATGAGTACAAGACAGACTTTCTGCCCCCAGGGCACTTGCCTCCCCACCCCACTGCCAATGATCTTGGGACAGCTATTGGTGAGGTCCCCTGGACCCTTTCCTCTCACTCTGCCCGCCTCCCCCAGGAGCTCATGGAAGGACTGTGTTTTTCTTGGAAACCTCAGAAACTCTCCCACACCCTGCTCAGTGCTCTGGTCTCAGCTCACACATCTCAAGGCAGCCCTCTTCAACCATCCTGTCTGATGAAGCCCTTTATCTTCCTACTTGATGATTTTCACAGCACTTTCTGACCTTTACTACTTGTTTGATTTGCTTGTTTTCTGGCTAAGGTATAGGCCACCGAGGGGTAGGCTGTATCCCTAGGGCCTGGTCCTAAGAGAGAATGTTCCCTAGCCACATTCCATTGTTGGAATGACTGCAGCTCCTTCCATCAGGAAATAGTCTTCTCTCCACCCCCTTGGACTAGCTCTGTGATTTGCCTTGGCCCCTAAAATATGTTGGAAGCACTGCTATGGGGGTTCCAGAGCCTAGGCACCAGGGAGCATCTGGAATAATAACACAAGATGAAAGAAGTCAAGTCTTCCCAAGGTTCCCAGCTAAGCCCAGCCCCTGCTGACCCACAAGCAGAATGCAGCATCTGGAATATTCCTGGGCAGCAAAAGAATTGCCCAGCCAAACAATAAGGTAGTTCACTCTTTTATCTGAAATTCAAATTTAATAGGGCAGCCTAAGTTCTTATTTTCAAAACTGACCATCCTAAGTAGGAAGAGTGGAGAAGCATGGGTAGAGAGGAAGAGAGGTAGGTAAGCCAAGTCCTCAGTGGAAATAAAATGGAGTGGCTGGGAGCCCTGAGAAGGAGGAAAGAATGACCAAGATGAGGGCAGAGAAGTCCACCACATAGTGTTATTTGATGCCACTACAAATTGGGGTCACTTGTTACATAGCAATAGTTTACTGAGACACCCTCAATCCCAAGTGTTGAGTGAATGAACAGGTGGATGAATGGATGAGTGTGTGAAACTCTCATTATGAAATTATGGAAGTGTGAATTATGGAAGCTTTGAACTCTGGTCTACTATTTGTCCCTGGAAAGGGGTCATCTTACTCCCCTGCTGAAGCCCCTAAGTATCTCATTGCTCTTGGAGTTGAGTCCAACTAAGCACCTCACTCTGACTGAGTTCTCTGTTCTCATCCCTCTGCCCTGACTCCCACTTTCCTCTGAGTAATATCTCAACTTGAAAATGCAAACTGGCCACTTCAGGCTACCCCTACCACACCCCCATTTTGAAACATTTATTTTCTGTGTCTACTTTGATGCAAAACTCAGATGTGAACTTCTGGATTCCCACTGGGGAGGGGGCTTAAGGCAGAAGCACCCTTTGGTAGGGAACCTTGTATTTAAAAGGGATGCAAACAGAGACTGTTGAGAATCCCCCCAAAGGAGTTTTTAGTCATAGCGGTTGCATTCATCCCAGGTCCTTGGGTCCAGTAACAGTGTTAGTTTAGTTCACGTAAATGCAGTCATGCATCACTTAAGGACCAGTGTACCTTCACTTGTGTACCTTCTGCGACACACATCGCTAAGTGATTTTGTTGCCAGGTGAATGTCCTGGAGTATAATTACACAAACCTCACTGCCCAGCTCTTACACACTAGGCTGGATGGTTGGTCTCCAGGGACGCCAGCATCTGTGCAGTGTGTGGTGGCCGGGGAGGTCTTGCAGTGCTGCAGGGGTGTATGGGGAATGGCACAGTGTGGTTTTTCGTATTTCTTTTTACCTTCTATGTCCTTGGCTTCGACTCCCCCAGAAAAGGAGCCCAAGACAGGGATTGGGTTGTGTCTGGGGCGTGTTCCCAGAGCAGAGCAGCAGAGGAATGGAGACCCAAGACAATGTGATAGCAAGTCTGCACTAAGAGCATCTGGGGCTCCATTCCACTGAGTACTCTGGGAGTCAAGGGATCTGGGAGTGCCAATGGGGGTTCAAGACAAATAGGAGCTAAGTTCGGACAGTGTGGTCCCTTGCTCTCCTGTGACCATAGACTGGAAGCCTGGCCCAGCAAGGTTCTTGTTGAACACAACACAGGCTGCGGCAGAGATTCCTCATAGCTTACCTCAACACTCATTCTTCCCTTCCTCTTTAGCAACATAACCCAAAATTTTAGCTGGGTGCCTGAAGGCACAGCAAAAGACCATCCATCCTCATCTTTCTCAAATATAAGAGTGGTTTTACAGTTAAGTATTAGATATGAGGGCCCTCCCTGGTGGCACAACAAGTTAAAGCATAGCACTGCAAAGCTGGCCACAGCCGCTTCGGTGCGAGTTTGACCCCCTGGAAGGAAGGTGGACTTTCCTTGTGAGCAATGCCAGCCTCCCCAAATCCTTTCACGAAAGGGAAAAGGTATTCTAGTCCCTTCCTCAACCTTAATGCAATTTATTTCTGGGACACCAGAGGGCGCCAATGTTCAGGTAGTTCAGATGGACTCACCACCTGGTCCTAGTTTCCTTCTCAGAAATAAAAAGGGGGTGTCTGGGGACTAAAGGCAGGGGGGGGGTGTAGGGGAGAGGCATTTGGCTTTCTTGTCTTAGAATCATTCTCTTGAGTGACCCTTCCTGGCACCAGAATAAAATCCAAATGCAACAGCTATGTCACGAGTGAGTTTGGCGCTGACTTCTTTTGTCTCTCGGCTGTCAGCAGAAAAAAATCTCAGTTTGCCTTGAACCCACCTCACAAAGCCTGGGCACTTTCCCTCATTGATTTACATCGCCATCCTTATGTGCAAGACTGTCAAGTCTGATTCTGATATCCTGACACTTCTGCCCCACAACCCCACAACCCCTCTGTAGTGTCCTCCTTGGTCACTGCTGAGTGTCCAGCTGAAAGTGGGAGCTTATTGGAGAGATGGGAAAGCCAGCAGGATAACCCATCCCATCATGAGTCCAGCTACGACCCTCCTGTGCCCCCTCTCAAGTTCTCCCCGAGGACTCAGGAGCTTGGGGGGACCTGGGGTCTCAGAGCCTCACAGAGCCCAGCCCTTCCACGTCACCTGGCCTCGGGGGGCAGCTGCTTCCCATCCCAAACTGCCTGGGGTGAAGCACCTTAGGGCTGATTTCCCAGCTGGATCCCGTCAAAGGTGATGGGTCCCAGATCTCAGGAGACCAGGGAGTAAGGGAACCAAACCTCAAACCCTTTCCCCCCCCACTATTTTCATTAACACCCCAACTGGAAGAGATTATGTGGCAGTGGAAGCTCTCTCTGTTCCTAAAGGTACCAAGGTTCTAGGAATTGCAGATCCTCCCGAGTCTGGTAAAAATTATCTCCCAGACTTGTGGGCACAGAGGATCCTTCAAAGTCGGCCCAGATCTCTGCTGTCCACCTGGTTTTCCCACAGTCAGAGCTAATTTCTGCCTTTGGTTTCTCCTATTGCTTGCTTGTGTCTAGGTTGAAGCAATTATGCTGGTTTTTATTCTTCTTGGAGCCTGAAGCTCCTTAGGGCAAGAGTCACTTTGTTTTCACATTTCAAAATTCTTTCGACCTGGGGTACCCAGCATCTCCCCACTACAAACATACACACGCACATGCAAATGTGCACACACACACACACACACTCACTCATTCTGGAGGGTTTTTCCAATGCATGGCACTTTGGAGAAACCCCAGGGACAAAGTAAATTTTTCATAACCTTTAACCAGTGTTGTTTATTCTAATACTTCAGCTCTTTCCCTTTGGGGGTGGGGGTCGTGGTGGCCACAGTAGAGGGGCTGGTTAAATTGTTCCTTTGTGATGAAGCCATGATGAAACTATTCCTTTGATTTTTCTTTCATCTAAACGTCTTTGGTTGGCAATATGACATACGGACCAGGTTATGTGGGTCACTCAGTGATTGGTTCTGGTTTTCAGTATTTTGGCCTGGAGAAGTCCCCAAGGTTGGGAATCATTGTCCCGTCAGGCCCAACACTGTCTCCCAGGCAGAAAACATCCTCCCGCAGAACATAGCAGGTTTCACTCTGAGG